CTTGAAAGCTTTTTCCCGGATCAAACGTCAAAATATCCCAAGAACGCGAAGAACACCAATCCTTGGTCTTCGCCGCAAAGTAGATCTCGAATCTTCTTCACGCCGGTTTTGAATTTACTAACGTTATTCGGAGGCTTCGCAGCTTGTTTCCGGATTGAACGCTAGTCTTGAGGTTGAACGCGCTTGAATCTTGCTTTGAGTCTTCAAGAACGTCTTTAAATCTTCAAGAACACTTGAATCTCGTCGAGAGATCTTGAACTTGAACTTGAATATGAACGCAATTCGGAGGCTTGGTAGCTTGTTTCCGGATTAAATGTCGGTTTTGAGCTTGATGTGCTTGAATCTTCCTTCGAATCTTCAAGAACGGCTTCGAATCTTCAAGAACACTTGAAACTTGTAGAGAGAATTCTCTAGAGCTCTTGAATTTCAAAATATGAATTATGAGGTGTCTTTGACATTAGGGAGAGTCCCTATTTATAGGTGTAGGAGAGAGCACCCTACCAAAATTAAGAATCGTAGGACGCAATTTGATTGGTCCATGACGATTCACATGAGATCTTCTAGATTTACTTAGATCTCCCAAGATTTTCTAGATCCACTTAAATCTTCCAAGATTTTCTAGAAGATATGATTTATTTACCAAGAATAAGATTTGACACTTGACATTATTTGATTGGTCAAGAATTAAAATATTAAAATATCAATTAATTAACTATTTAAATTTAGGAATTAAAAATATGGAAATTCCTAAAATATAAATAGAAAATATGAATTGATTTTTAATAAATTAATTTCCACGTGGCGTCATTTGATTGGACACAAATTTTATGTCTCTACAAGAAGTTATCAACTTTTAAAATACATTTATAATTCAATAGCTTATTGAAGGAAACAAATCAAAATTCAATGATATATTAGTCACTTAGCACCTCACTATGTATAATTACAAAGAATTAAAAAGGTTATATTAGTAAAAGTGATATTAAAATAATATTTATGGAATACCCGAACCTAGATTTGTGGAATAATATTTATGGAATACCCGAACCTAGATTATTAATTATTAATATATCAATATTATTTATCCAAATCTAATTACGAAGCATGATTTTTCGCCAAATAGGATTCCGAAGCACCAGAAGCAGCCACGTAGGCTCAGCACATTCGAGAATTATATATAGGGAGGATTGTCAGTTTTGTTTTCATGATGTATAATTTCTAATTAACTTAGTATATGTGGCAGGGTAGTAAACACATTGTGATATTATATGACAATAATTTATACTTAATAACTAGGTTTAGATAAACATTTAATTTTTTAGGGAAACGAAATAACTATAAACTATGTTACCTTTCTTCGCTTAAATTACTAAATATGTAATTCTTCTGATTTTTAAAAGTTTATGAATCTTTTTATTATCATTTATTTTTTATATATAATATATAAAATTAACCATCTTTTTAACATCCTTATATAAGACGGAGAATAATTTAATCAATCTTTATAAGTAAAACTAAAATTATTTATCAAACCTAATTGAAGAATATCATATAACATCATAAATTGCTTTATAAAATAATAAAAAAATCTAATTCATTAATATATCATAAAACAATCATTTTAATTCCATAGATTTTGGGAAAATATGAATATCAAGTATTACATAAAATCTATATTAAAAAATATTCTAAAATATTGCTTCTCGACTTCATGTAAATAAAAATTTTAATATTATTATCTACTCAACACAATAAATACAATAGAATATCATAACTAAAAAAAATAAAATAAATTTCATATTTCGCATAGAAATATTAAATAAATATGTATTTTATTCTATATTTTAAATTATAAAATACTTGCAGAATACATGAAGATCAAAAAACGAGAGACACTGACTTTATAAATGTAAAAAATAATATTGAAATATATTAAACTTGATTATAAAAAATTGAATAAAATATAATAAATAAATATTTATATTCTTAAGTATCCCGACTTTATAAATGGAAAAAATAATATCGAAATATATTAAACTTGATTATAAAAAATTGAATAAAATATCATAAATAAATATTAATATTTTAAGTATCCACACCGCTATGGTACTATAATATTAATTGTTTCCATTACTTCAATTTCAATACTACTAATATTTGATTATGTGCATTTGCACAGATATAAAACATGCTTTTGTTTGTATTTATTAATAGACATGTACGTCTATTATATAATTTATTTATTTTTTTACTTTTTCTTAAGTTATTTTTATCATTCAAAATTAATTGAGATTTAGATTTTATTTAATCATGCAACGTTTACATTAGTAACATGAATAAAATAATTTATATATTTGTGGTAGATATTAAGAAAATTAACATAAATAAAAAAAATTATTGGTATTTCTGATTTTTACAAAAAAA